GTGAACGTATGCAATTTTTTGTTGCGAGATCAGCTCGGCATATAAAAAAAACACCACGCGAGCGAGTATAGTTGAGTTCCTTTTCTGAACGCGGTGCTGCTTGTACGGAGAGACTGTGTCAGTTGGAAAGAGAATTTCTTGCAGCAGTTTCACACAATAATTAACGAAATGTAAATGCATTTATAATAACAATGCAAAATCAAGATACATTGCGTCTGGATTCAGCACTGACTTCAAAGTCTCAACCTAAAGAATATCTATCAGTTGTTATTTATATTTAATATAAGAATTGGTTCCATAAAGAATTGGTTCCATGAGTCTTTAATAGAAGAATTGGTTCCATACCATTGCCAATGGTATTTGTGCGAAAGTGATTTCAACGACCTCGAACGGAATTTGACTACGACATTCCGATCGCACATTCCCCGTCGAATGACACTACGCGATGATAAGCTGGGTGTTAGTGAAGAGTCTTAGCAAATAACTGCTGTTGAAAGGTCAAGCTATGACTGTTGTTTTGTTTTTTCGTTATGAGGTCGTCTTGAATAAGAGCCACAAAACACAAGACGAGAATAAATCATTGTAAATCATGCCATTTTCCACAAAGTAATGCCGCAACTTTGACAGAGTCTCAACATGTTTCAACAGGTGGGAATCATGAAATAGTTCAGGCGGCTGTGAGTGTACACTTATCAGAGAGAGGAAGAGAGGCATGATCAGAGAACCACGCTCTCTATCTCTCTCTCTCTCTCTCTTTCTCTCTCTCTCTCTTTCTCTCTCTCTCACACACACACACACACACATGCGCGCAAACACGCACACACACATGATTACTACACTCTTAACCCGTTCAAGTCTAGGGTCAACCGTTATCTTCCCCACATATCCCTATAAAATGTGCCTCAAACTCTGTAACCCTCTACCTCGAATGGCTCTTGGGCCTTGTACAAGGTGGACATCATTGAAAAAAATGGGAAAATTCTTACCGTGACTACCAATTGCTCTCGATATTCGAATTTTAATAACTTATTTTCTCATATTTCGTTTGCATTTCATAAATCTTATTTAAAACTCTCTCTGTCTTTCTCTCTCTCCCACACCCACACCCCACATATATATATATATATATATATGTGTGTGTGTGTGTGTGTGTGTGTGTGTGTGTGTGTGTGTGTGTGTGTGTTTCATAAAAAATCTATGTATTGCAGTTATATAACCATTATTTGATTATAGATAATGGTATATGCAATATTGATTTAATTCCTTGATTTTTTTAATGTTAAATATTGCCTTGTATTAAGACCCATTGAATAAAATAAATATAGTCTTTTCGGTTCAAAATTATATGTAAAAATGATTTAATCATAATAAAGAACCCTTTAAGATTGTTCTTAAGTATATTTAAAAATAATTTAAAAAATTAAAATTAACACATACACCCCCTACACACACACACACACATATATATATATATATATATATAAACATATATATAAAAGCGTTTCACCCCAAGCAAGGCGGGAAGCCACTAGCACGCAATGGATTACAGAGAGTTGGAGCTAGAGCAACTAGGAGTGATAGAGGAAAGGATGAAGAGAAGGTTAGGGGTTAGATCAGGGCATCTGGAGACGTCAATTGACATTACATTTGAATAGTTGGAGATTGTAGCTATCAGGGAAACAAGAAATGTGGAGGGGGTTCCACAGGCGAGAAGTGCGAGTCATGAAGCTACTGGAGTAGAAGAAACAGCTACGTTTAACAGTTTTGACAGTGAATGGGTGAGAACGAGACGCCAGCCTAGTTGAACGCTTAAATTCATGAAGTCTGGGAACCAGCGAAAGCAGCAAAAATATATTCTTAACCGGATGTATGGTTTCGCATCTTAATATAACAGTTCCTCAAGATATGTATGAATACTACACACACCGCTTACATCTAACCTACACTTTTAACTTTTCTACTTTAGCTTTGAACTGTCTTTTGATTCGTCAATAGTGACATACCCATAAGATTTTAAAGTTTTGATCTCCTCATCCTTCTTAACTAGTATTGCTTTGTTTCAAAAGTAAATCATTTTCATCAAAAGTTACTGAACATTGCCTGATGACAGGATAAGTCCCGAAACAGAATTTTCCGTATCGCAATGTAAAATATTTTTAAATAAAAATATTATTAATATGTGTTTGTGTGCGTATGTGAATAAAAACAAAATGAGACTTTTAATTACTGACCCGTTTCGTCTTCTCATGAACTTTATCAAGCCAAAAGTAATTATAAGCAGAACGAAAACAATCGTTACGTTTTCAATTTTGTTTTTTAATTTAAAAACACCCGTATATATTCTTCAGGCTAACTATGAAAGTCAAGGTAAACTATGGAAGATGCTAAGTGATCTAATTTAAAAATGGAAAATGAATAAATGTTATTATTGCTGCTAGTTTCTCTGCGTCATAGTTATTTATTCCTTCTTTTAATGTAATTATTATTTTTTGTCAACTAGTTTGACCAAAGAAAGAAGAAAATGCCATTAAGATGCAATAGGCTTTTGGGAGTGAAAGAGAATGATAGACTACAAAACGAACTGGAAACCCAATCCTAAACAGAAAAGAAAAGATAAACCTTTACTACTGTACAAAATTTTTAATTTATTTACGTACCTATTTAATTTAAATAAGTTTTGTTTTAACCTTATTCTTTTAAGGTTTTTGGGGGTTTTTTTATGGCCATGTATTTTGGCTTGGGAAAGGCGTATATCTTGTAGAAAAGTTGATATTGAAAAAATCCGGACCCAAGGTTTGCCTTTTATTAAGACTTGATAGCGCCACTTTCAATTGACAATTGCCAACAAGCAAGTATAGTATTGCTCCTATAAATACATATATATTAATATACAAATACATTAATAAATATATAAATACATACCTATAAATATATGAATAAATATATAAATACATATTTATGAATATATAAATACATAAATAAATATATAAATACATATCTATAAATATATAATCAAATATATAAATACATATCTATAAAAATATAGATAAGTATTTAAATACATATCTATAAATATATAAATTTATATATAAACATATCTGTAAATATATAAATACATACCTATAAATATATGAAAAAAATACATATCTATAAAAATATAAATAAGTATTTAAATACATATCTATAAATATATAAATACATATCTATAAATATATGAAAAAATACATATCTATAAAATATAAATAAGTATTTAAATACATATCTATAAATATATAAATACATATCTATAAACATATGAAAAAATACATATCTATAAAAATATAAATAAGTATTTAAATACATATCTATAAATATATAAATACATATCTATAAATATATAAATACATAAATAAATATATAAATACATAAATAAATATATAAATACATATCTTTTACTGTTGCTGGGAAAGTTGGTATGAGTTAGATAAATTTTACTTGTCAGAATCTATCTGACACATTTATAAATTTACTATTCATCTGTGAATGGAATATTGTTGCCACATCTGGTCAGGTGCTTTTTTTGCTGAAGTCTCTTGACAAAACCCCCAAAAAGAATCTGTTATGTTATCAGTCCTGACTTGGCTTTTCAACTTCAATCACTTTCTCACCAGCATAACCTGACTTCACAGTGCTTTTTCTATAACTATTATTCATGACAATTGCTTCGATGAGCTTTCCTCTTCTGTCTTAGTCAATTATTTCCTATTTTAATAAGTACCGCATACGTTGAAGTTGAACTTAATTCTATGTATGACTAATACATTTAATAAACTGTTATGCATAAAATCGTTTTTGTGTTCATAGAAACGTTTTTCCTAACATATTGTAAGGAACAGTATATATATATATATATATATATATATATATATATATATATATATACACACACATACACACACACACACATATATATATATATATATATATATATATATATATATATATAGTATTACAAAACAATATCCATAATTACCTCATATGGCCGACGAAAACTACGTCAGTCTTATTCAACCCCGGTGTATACACTGAGTTCGTGTCGGAATTAGAAATTTAACTTTGACAGCCGTTGAAAAACTGATACAGATTTTATCCATTTTGTGGATCCGTTTTAATATTTCTAGGATCCACTTGGATTATATACCAACGGATTTATTACTTGCATTATATATATATATATATATATATATATATATATATATATATATATATACAGTGTAACCCGGATATAAGACAGTTGTCGGGACCGGAGAAGAAGTCTCTTATATCTGGGTTTCTCTTATATCCGAGTTTGGTCTATTTTATATACATTAACACAGGCTCTAATTTGGGACCAGAGAAAATCTCTCTTATATCCGGGTTTCTCTTATATCCGGGTTACACTGTATATATATATATATATATATATATATATATATATATGTATGTATGCATTCAAGCAGGTTGTGTTAAATAATTTAGATGTATTATGTCTATTTAATTTAGCCTTAATCCTTTCATAAAAGGCTTCAAGAATTTTAAGTTTTGCTTATTATTATTTTGATGAAGTATTAATATATTTTCATCTACTATAGTGAAAGTGAGTTGATAAGAGAGACGAATATGCAAAAACATCGTCTAGTAGCAGGAAACTAGTGTTTGTTAGAGGAAATTTGCTGGACATAGTCTGGCACAAGGCCATAGGCCACTTTTAAAGACTAGTTGGTTTGTTGTTTTTATTTAGCGGCATACCAATAGCTTTGTGGGTTGTTTAATGTCGAATTGTAGATATTTGTACACAATTTTACTTATTTTTCTGAATAATAATGGTTTTAGTGATGCAAGTTTTACTAATTAACCCATAGCGGGGGGTTAAGAAGAAGAAGAAATTGCGCAGAAACGAATAATAACGAACCCAACGGGAATTGGAACTCGGCTCATCGATTAAGAATTCCTAGCCATTTATTCATTACACCACACGCACACTACGCTTGGCATTCCCAAGCGGTCACCCATCTTATGTACTGACCAGGTTCGATGTTGCTTAACTTTGGTGACCGTACAGGAACCGGTGTTTCAACGTAATGTGGACGTAGGCCGCTTTTAAGGATCTATCTCCAGTACACTGATGAATTGGTCAGGAAGACAAATGGAGGAAATATCGCTCAGTGGCAGGTTTTTATTAAGGGTACTTACTCATAAGTCTGGCAAAAGGTCATTAGAATGAAGCGCATGGTAGCCAGTCCACAACAAGCGCACCAATTGTATTATCATACTAATTACAAAACCCAGGTTGTGTGTGTGTGTGTCTGTTTTGTTTATATATTGGATCGGATTTCCTACATTTTTCAACCGATTTCAACAAAACTTCACAGGACTACGTAAAATTACCTTGGAGTGGTTCTGACGGCGCCAAAAATTGGAAAAACACAATTGTTTTTGCACGAAATCAATTTGAAAACACGATTAAGAGGCATCGATGTCGAGAATGAAAGGGTGACAACTCATATCGAGTTATATTTATTATAAAACCCAGGTTGTTTGTGCGTGTGTGTGTGTGTTAGTTTATATATGGGATCGGATTTCCTACATTTTTCAACCGATTTCAACAAAACTTCACTTTTTCTTTTTGGCAGGTAGTGTTTCTTATTGTCTTACACACTTTTTTCTTTATTTTTACACTCAGAATGCTTTAAAAATTCCATTTACAAGACAATTGTTTATAATAAAATTCTATTCGATCGATAGACTCATAACGATTGAAAACAATGCTTTTGTTTGAGTTTGGGTTTGACCAATTCGTAAAAAGACAAAAAAAAAAAAAAAAACTAACAAACAAAAAAAAAAACTAATTAAGACATGCGTGTCCGTCAACCTTAAACAATAATCTTTGTCAATATTTTTCAGTCTTTATGATGGTCGATACTTGATCTATCTCTTACTGTTACATCCCCTGGCAACGCCGGGCTCTACTGCTAGTTTGTTATAAAACTGGGTCGTAGTTGTTGTTTCTCGTCTAACTTCGAAGAACGCTTTATTTGTTTATTTATTTCAATTATTATTATTATTATTTTCTTGTTTGGACTTATCGAACTAGATTTCTTCGTCCCCTCCTCACTCTGTGACCGTCAAGCCGTGATCTCCACCCCTACCATTAATATTATTATTGTCACATTGGTCGGATTTCGGCTGTAAACTAATTCAACTTATTGTGACGACGCTGACGGCTTGGTCTTCCCCAGAGGTTTTGATAGGCATATAAACTGTATCCATAACAACCAGTGAAACATCACGGACACAAATAAGCGACAATGTAGAACCATTCGAAAAAGCGACAGGATGTGTTCGTTTTTATTTTTTTTCTTCGGATAAACAAATTGTCGGTACGAACGAGTAAAGCAGGTGGGTTACTTTCTATTTTTTTTTTTTTTTTCCTTTGCTAAAGTCCAACCATTTTTTTCTTTTTACGCATTTTTTTTTTTACTTGTTTTGCGAATTGACTTTCTTTTAGAAACTTTTGGAAAATATTATGTTGTGTCAGTTTCCGCTTGGGTGAAATCATTTATAATGAAGAATGATGTCCTCTCCAGACAGCTTCTTCCCAAGAGTCGCTGCTCTGTCGAATAGACTCCCGTGAGGGTGTTTCCCCGATCACTACATTCTTAACCTTTTCAAGTCTAGCGTCAACCGTTATTTTTCCTACATGTCCTCATGACATTCTTTTCCTGCCTTTTCCACTTACAATCATACGACAACTTTATTCAGTAACCCTTGAGTGGCTCTTGGGCCTTGTATTTGGTAAACAATTTATAAATAAAAATGTCTTCCTAACTACTAATCATACTTGGGATTTAAGACTAAAATAAACTATATATATATAAAATATACTAATATACTTTAGTTTTGCACGGCCGTGACAGCGTGCACGTTTAAATAAAAGTGCAAGAATAAGAAGAAAGATTGTGTTGATAAGGCGGCAAGAATAACACAGAAAAAAAAAAGAATTTGATTAATCAGTTCACGACCAACTGCCATATATGTCTGACGTTACACAAACCAATTACTGCCTTTTGTGATCGCTGCAAAACTTTTTTTTCATAAGGAAAACTTTCTCTAGTAAAAAAACAAAAACAAAAAAACACTGTCTATATCTCTGAGATGAGGTATTATGATTACTTGTATTATTTACATTATTCAGACTATTATCCTCATCTTCACTGCCATATTCACAATGTTTCGGTCGTTGTACGCCCCAGCCTTCTTCAGGTGATTGTAATTTCGAACCGAACCCTTTATTTCGTCCACCGGAGTAGATTGTTCTAGTTCCATGTACCATGCCTCTTCCGGATATCTCAGTTATTTCCCTTTAACTCAGCTCTTCAAGTTTTTGGTTCATCACGGCTATGGCTTGGTATTGAACTCACAACTCTTTGGACACATGGCTTAGTGGATAAAGACGTTGGTTAGATCCAGTGACTAGATCCAAGAGAGACATAGACATAAAGGCCGGAGCGTACAACGACCGAAACGTTGTGAATATGGCAATGAAGATGAAGATATCAGTCCGAATAATGTAAAAAATGCAAGTAAAAAAGAAAGCCCAAAAACATTCAAGTGTTTGTCGAAAACTTTTTTACATCAAAACCTGTGGATTTTTTTTTTATCATTTTAAGCAAGGCAATAATGCCACTAAGACGCTTTGAGTTACAGGGAGGGAAGAACTAGTAGATTTTAGTGGGGAGATGTGATTAAAAGGACAATGAAAGAACAGAGTTAAGGAATTAAGCGACTTAAACCTGTGGATCTTAAAGAGGAGTGCCTTACATCGGCTCTCATTGAGTGGCGCTATAAAATCACAAAGAAAGATATTAATCATATAACAAAAATCACACTAATCGAAAACATTCAACAGCGGCAACAAGTAAAATGTAAATCACATGTCATTCAAAGATAACTAGTCAATAATGTCGATTCTACACACTAGCAGAAAAAACTTTAGGAGGGAAACCTCCATGAATACATTTCACGCTAAATGAAGCGGGAATTCAACTAGGACGCATAGAGATTACGGGGGCTGAAAATAAGAGAAAAGACTGGGTACAGGGAGTCTGAGGAAAAGACAAAAGATGAACGGGATTCAAGAATATAAAAGATGGCGATTGACGTTACATTTACATTTTTGAAGATTGTAGTTGTCAGGGAAGCAAGAAATCGGAATGGATTTCGAGGGGCGAGAAAAACGAAACTATTTGAATAGAAGAGAGTTTAGAAAAGGTATCGAAGTGGAAACAAGTCTTTGCAAATAACATACTTACTAGTTTAGTCTAGTAAGTAATTATATGTAACTCAATAAAATGTAATTAAGTACCTGCAAAAAAAAAGCAAAGCAAAAAACGATACCTAACGTTTAAAATAAATTTTTAAAAAGAAAAAAATCTTTATTTTAGTTTTATTTGAAGCTAATACATTAATTTTAATATTTTCAATATGCAAAAAAATGCTGCATTTCATAACGAATTTGAATTGATTGATATTTTTTAATCTATAAAAATGGCTGATTTTAGCCAAATTTGTAAATTTGTCTAAAGTCAGCCATTTTTTTAAAAACAGAATTTCGTAAATTTTTTTAAAAACAGAAATTCTGTTTATTAAAAAACATCTTTAAAAATAAAATAGACTTTCATGAAACTTTATCTCCTGTTAATTTCCCTCTGAAAGTTCTCCACTGCCTCAGCCGGGTATATGAACTCAAACTCTTTGGGTCCTGTCACTGGATCTAACTAACGTCTTTATCCACTGTGCCATGTGCCCTTGAGGAGATAACTGACATCCATTAAACATGGCACGTGGAACTAGAACAGTCTATCCCAGTGAGCGAAATAAGGGGTTCAGTTCGTCATTCTAACCACCTGAAGAAGGCCGAAACGTTGTAATAAATATGGCGACAAAGATGAGGACAATAGTCCGAATAATGTAAATAATGTTATATACTTTTAGTTTAAAATATTGCAGCGAAACATTTTTTAACACGGCAATGAATGCTTTTATGAGGTGTTGACAACTCTCGCGAGAGACTTATGTTTGGAAATTTTTTCCCAAGGTGCACAATAAATGTAACAATTACTTGACGGATATTACGTGAACGCCTTTTTTTATATATTTTTTTTAACTACACAATAATCATTAGAATTTAGGAAAATATCTAATGTTTTATCGAATTTTAAGTACTTTGTCTTTATAGTCTTACTTACGAAGAAGCTTGGTGCGAAAATGTTAGAAAATCATATTTTTTTTAAATACTATGGTCACTAAATTGTAGTGAGCTTTTCCATTTGTGATTAGTAAATATAGTTTTTACTTAATAACAATATCATCTAACCGCTATGAATTTTTAAAGATTTGAAAATTTATAAATTGCTATGATTAAAATAAAAATTGAAAGAGTTTTTGTAAAAAATACATTATTCATCGATTTTTTTGTAATATATCTTAATAATAAAAAGCAATTAAAAGACTTTCTAATAATTTCTTAGCTTTATTGCATTTTTTAAATTTTACGATTTAGTGTATATTTCCTGTAAGTGAAGATCCTGTTTTACAAAATAATGAAAATTTAAATTCTCCAAGGACTTGTGCTTATAACTAATACAAACATAAAGCAATACAAAATTGTATTTCTCGAAATTTCATAAAATTAAATAAGTGGTGAGAAGGTAACAGATGTAAAAAATATTTAACCCAAGATTTTGTAAAAAAAAGTACGGTTTTTAAAATAATTCATTTGTGAATAATTACTTAAAATCCGAAATTATTTGATTTTTGCAAGAATTTACAAATTATTGTTTTTCACCAGCAAAAGACGCTAAAATTTCCCAAATTAATATATTACCCCTCTAAAATTTTGAAGGTTCTAAGACGAATAAAAATATAAGTTAATAAAAAAAACCTTTCTTTCGGTAATTGGCTTTTTCTTCATTTCTTTAAATGATTCTTTCTTTCTTTTTTCTTTCCTCATTCTTTATTTTTTTCTTTAAGTGATTCTTTCTTTCAGTGTTTTTCTTTCATTCTTTCTTTCTTTCTTTCTTTCAGTGTTT